TCTTGGCAGAAAATGCCGTAGTTTACAGATCAATCCTACAGTTCAGCTCATTTTAATAGCTACGTGGTCAATATGATATTTCCAAGAAAGATTATTGTCAATTATTATACCTAGATATCTCACAAATTCTTTACATTCTAGAGCCACATTCTTATTTTGAGCATTGTCGAATATCATTATTTTAGGGTAATGGGTAAGTTTTCTCTGAGCCGGTCTAAAAATGACAAAATTTGTTTTTTTATGGGAATCATTTTTGCCATTTTTAGTTTAGTGGGATACATCCCAGTCAAAACAGAAAGATTTATTATTTCCTCGAGTGTACTGCTGATAACATTTGACGAGTACTTCAACAGTTGAGTATGACATGAATATAAACCATGAGATTTGTTAATTGGTATGCGCAAAATGTCCAATTCCACTTCAGCTGGGGTAACTAGGTTGAAAGCAAACAAAGAGTCAGGAGAGTTGGATCTGTTCAAAAAATCAAAATAATTACGCTGAACGGTTGGTAACTTATTTGCCAGCTTAGGTCCAACAGAAGCGAAATAGTTTAAGAACGTTGGCTATTCTACTTGGGTCACTGGTGACAGAATCATTGTCATTAGGGTCCTTACTAAAAGTAATAGGTTTTGTGTTCTTCAATTTAAGGGCAAGGACATTGTTTATTCCCTACCACGTTTTTTTCATATGAAGTGATCATTAACAAATTTAGAGTAATATTGCTGTTTCCTTAAACGCGTTAAGGTACAAATTTTGTTCCCATAGATTTTATAATTGGCGGTGTCACTAGACGCATATAACTTATTTTTAACTTTAATGAAGATTTGTATACCTTTGGTAATCCATGGTTTAGAGAGTTGTTTTGCTTTGCGCTTTGACATAGTTTTCATAGGTGCATGTTTACTTATTAATTTGTTAAATTTGTTATAAAAAGAATAAAAGAAATTGTCCGCGTCACACGGTTTTTTATTTAAGAGTGCATTCCAGCCCACATTAGAGAGATCAAAGTTAAAACTGCCCCTAGAGAATCTAGAAAAGTCCCGCACTTTCGACTTTTTTGATCTTAATTTTATCCCTTATAGATTTTAGAATACAGAATTGCGAAAAATTATCACTTATATCAGAGATTATATTTCCACAAGCCACAACTTGATCAGGATTATTAATAAAGATGTTGTCAATTAGGGTGGCGGAAGTAGAGCGAACACGTGTTGGTTTGTCGATTGAGGGAAAGAGAAAACAACTTTGAAGGGAAGACAGAAACTCGTGACTATACGAAGATGATGCGCATGCCCATTTTAGAAGCTCAATGTTGAAATCACCCATGATTACGATGTGTTTCCCAGAGGACGCAAGTCTTTCAATAGTCTCCTCAAAATATGATTGAAAGATTTCAGGTGAGTTATGCCGTCTATAAAAGATTCCACAAATAACATTTTTCTTATTCACAAAGGAGAACTCAGTCCACAATACCTGAAAAACTTTATTAGAAGTCTTTTCTAAAATACGATAATCAAGCAATTCGTCAATAAATATTCCCTGCGCGTCCAGACGTCAGAGGCGTTGGAACATATTCAAATACGTAGCCAGGTATATGTGCTGTGCACATTTGTGACTTAGCATTGGTGATTTTTGTTTCAGTCACTCCGATGACATTAAAATGAAAATCTACTTCATGCAAAAGTTGAGTTTGAAGATTTTCCAGGTTACAATTAAGGCTGACTACGTTGTTATGAAAAACAGAAAAGCTAGAGATAGTCTAGCTCTCATCTTTTGACAACTTTGTTTTCATTTCCTTAAAACTATGGGGGGAGAAATATCGACTAGTTTTTCTGCTAGAGGAATAATCAGCAGGGATCAAATCAGTATGACCTAAGGTTGTATTTAAGGAAAACAAATAAGTCATATATCCTAGTAAGCTTGTCTAATTCCTTTTTAGTTTTACATGTGGTCGAAACTGAATTATTAAACTGGCCATGAATTTCTGCCAAATTTCCAGAACAACTATAATACGGTAAAACCTTCAATGTAGATCTAGTAGATTTTACTGTAGTTTTGTTCGTGCCTTTCATAGTAATATCAGTGATAAAGCATAATAGTAGTTTTAACTTAGCTGCCAGGATCCTCCGGTCGAGCTTCAGGGCGTTCACGCAGTCTTAACTTAGTTAAGTCGTCAATCGACCTCAGACGAATCGTCATAGAAGAATCCGTTTTGCGTAGGAAGATTGCCGTGCGCCTTTTGCCAAGCACCACTTGTAGTTGTATGTGTTTTGGTGCGCCTTCGCTGAATGTAACAGCTCATGTAGTCTCGGCGTGAGGTGGCTGTAAATTGCTATCCGATTAATTTCAGCAGTGGACGGGAGATCCAGGTCCTCGGTAGTTAGTCGCTTGGCGTTACCTCTTGACGCCAGCACTGTGTCTTGTGTCATCCCTCTAGTGAATTTGCAAATTATCGGGTTCGGTTGTCTTCGGTTGCCGGTTGAAGTATCTCGCTGTGGAACCCTGTGGGCAATGTTGATCTCTGATGTGGAGACATCGACTCCAAGGCCAGAAAATAGCTTCACACACAACTCCGCGGTGTCTTGTGCAGATTCGCTTCTGAGATAAGTACTGTAGTAGAGCATCTCGTCGATAGCTTTGTCAATTCTCTACGAGAAAAATTTTCCAGAGCTTTTAACAAGATCGATTCTGACTTAACAAGGGCATCGTAGCTGTCGCTGAGGAATTGGACATCCTGTGTGTTCGGTAAAGCCATAACTGCCGCTTCGTGGCAATCCTTTTGTTCCGCCATCTTGGACTTGATAGACTGAAATTCCTTCTTCAGATCATTCAGTTGTCTCTTTAAATCATCGTTTTCTCTTCTTAACGCTTTCACTCTGTCTCCCATTAGTCAACGAAGAAAATAGAAACGATCTTAACTAGCCTAACAGCAAATACACATATGCGAGAACGCGGAGCGCTGGCTGAAGCGTCCGGTCAGTCTCGCGGCACGTGCAAAAAAAAAAATCTTTCTCCTGGTAAGCACGGCATATATTTAGAAAATGGTATTCGTCCTCCCTGTATAAACATTTGCTCCCCCCCCCCTTCCGGGAAAAAGATTGTCTCAGTGTCAGAAATTTCGGCCGTGAATTTCATAATAGGGTGATGAAAGTTTACTTGTTCGAAGAAGTTACGATGCCTGCGTGGTTTGCTTATGTCCCACAGGGAAAAAATGTCATCTCAGATGTAGCCTTTTCAAACAGTTGGTTTAAAGACGGTTTTGCTTAGACTGCTTTTCAATATATGGCATGAAAATGTTGGCGAAGGAAACTGCTGTCTTTGTTCCCTACCCGGTACCTTGGATTTGTAGGTAGAGCTTTCCATTAAACTGGAAAGAATTTTCTTTGAGGATTAATCTAAGCATTTCTCGCAAATAATGTGTAGGAATAAGAGGGCTGTTTTCGTAGAAATTTTCAAATGCTCTGCCTGGAGCCGAACTAATCGGCTCCTTGCTCTACAAACTATTTTAATGCTTTCGTTTAGTGGTATATTTGGGTAAAGACATGTGACGTCCATCGAAAAAGAAATAGTCTACAGGGGTCTAAAATGTTCCCTTTCACACCCTTGTCTTTTCAATAAAATTTATAAAGTTGGTAGTATCTTCTGTACCAGCAAAAGCGGAAATTATTTCCGTTGGACCAACTGATGAGTCAAATTTACAGACAGAGGTTATTTCCTGAGCTAGAAAAAATACATGAAATTACATCGATAATGTCGGTCCATTTCGGTAGTCGGTTAATATTTTTCCTGTTGGTAGTCGGGAGGTTTTTTTCGTGTTTTGTCGGTAGTCAGTAATATTTTTGGCCCTTCGTGGCTAGTCGGTTAACCCCATTCACACCCTCATAATATGCCACTTCTACTTGCGATGATCCGCCCTTGATTGCTCACATAAAATTGCGTGGTCTATCTCCTCTTCCCTGCGGAGGATGACGTCTCTGTGGTTCGGTTTAAACTATGGGTTAGACAACTCACTGGTCTAGAGTTTTGTTTCTTTTCGATCTTATCTTGTCGATGATAATATGAGAACCGTCACATTTGCAATCATCGTAACGCCTTTTTCCTTCCATAAAAAGGGCGTTCTTCCACGTTTTTTGGCACTAAGTTAATTACTGTAATTATTAGACTACGAGGAGTCTCTCTTTCTATAGTCCGTCGAGCAAAACGCGAGACACGCAAATGGCCACGCGTGTGACTGAAGGCCCTCGTTTTGCGCGTCCCGCGGCTCCCGCGCTCGTGCACTGCTCTCACTAAATCTGAAGTAGTCTATGTAATTATGGGCTGAGAGAGCTTTCTATTTTCTCGGGTTTAGCCTGCGAATACACCTGTCTCTCCTCGCTCCTCGCCGTTGGGGACGTTTTTCGAGAAAAGACTGCTTTATTAGCAGCCCACCGAGCCCACCTCGAAAATATATTCAGTTTATTCGTAAACTGGACATGTGTGGCGAGTGCCTAGCGCGCACGCTTTAACCCTCTCTCATCGCGCGAGCGCTCGTGCATATTTAATTTACTCTTTGTGAGGTACTTTCCGGTTTGCGTTGAGAAAGGAATTAGGATGTAAGGAGTTTGTTATAACGGAAAAGAAATTCTTAAGAACGGAGGAGTTGGACCAAAATTCCGCAGTAGCCAATTATTTTTTGTTCTTTTTTTCTTTAAAGACCGCCTGAATAAGCCTCTACTTTTTGAAAAAGCGTTCAAAAATGTCAAGAGAAGCTTCCTCCCAAGGGTTTTTGATTGAATCCGGGGAAACTCTAGATTCATCCAAGACAGAAGATGTAAGAGGAAAGAAATTACGACAACCAGACTCTTACTGGTCTTGGATCGTGTGTGCAGTTGGTGCCATTTCCGACGTCATTGTATTGGGATCAGCCTACTGCTTCGGCATGATATTTCCCCACCTTCTCGAGGAGTTTAAACAAGGAAAATCTAATACTGGTAGGTATTACGATAGCCTTTAACTCTCTAACATCTTTCTTTGCTTTGTTAAAAAAGCCTGGTTACTTATCTGCGCATTCGAGGCGTTTTGTTTCCACGGTATAGTTGGCCCGGCTAACAATAGTGTATATGGGAGTGAGTTGCAACTGTACAACTGTACAGTACCGCAAATGATCCCCAACCGCAAATGATCCCGAGACCGGAAATGATCCCCAAAATGGACCGCAAATGATCCTTGACCGCAAGTGATCCCCAAAGTCGACCGCAAATGATCCCGTAAGAAAAATAGGAATGACTTGGACTCAAGTTGGCGGATCATCGTGTCGATTTTATTATTATTACCAAAACGTCAGATTAAAAGCTAAATTTTACTTCTCAAATAAATCTATGAATAAAAACTAAATGAAAAAAAAAAAAATCATTTAAGTGTAAAAACGAAGTCGGTAGGCAACACACGACTTTTACCTCAAGCTAAAATGCTGCTTGTTCCAATGAATTTTTTCCGGATCTGGGATCTGGCGGGTAGATTATACCTCGGAGCAAAACGTTTTGACTGAGCAAATGTAATTTTTGCCGCTTATTTCACGCATTTTCTGCGGTTATTGTTGTTTCTGGTCAGCATGATTTGCCCTTTGATGCAAGAGCATTTCCTTTGACCTCTTTTGAAATGCAGTGCCCTTCATTGCCGCTAATTAAGGGTTATAGGTTGTTTATTTTTTTCCAAAGTGCCTCCTGGATCCGAATAATTATAAGCGGTTTTCTTTCTCGTCCGTGAATATGACAGTTTCCTACGATGTTTTGTCACGCGGTAACTACCGCTTACCTCGCTTTTGCGTTTCTCATTACCAGGTTTAGATTCCTGGTAACTGTCTCCAGCAAAGGCAAAACAAATGAATATACATAAAAGCGTCAATATAACTATTCGCAACATGTTCATGAGTTGTAAGAAAGTTGCTGTTTGGAAATAAACAGAAACCTGTGGACATTGATAAGTTTGGGGGCATTTTGACTTGTGTTAAATCATGTCTTGTTTCGTAACGGTCACCTAAGTTACGAACAAATGTCTTCCTGATTATCACGTAAAATTAACACTTCAGAGAAAAATCAAAATTGAATATTCTGAAAATTAATTAATTTCACACTTTCAAAAAGATCAGTAAAGTCAATAAAGCTCTTGTTATGTAGAGGGTGCCCGGCTTTGTATTCCTCAGCTTCTAGGCGTTAAAATAATAGAGTCTTTTCTGCGTAACGTCCTGCCTGTCTTAAATTCTTCAGCGACGAAACATTCTTGAAAGAAAACTGAAGCAATTGAGGTAAGGTAAGCGGTAGTTATCGCGTGACAAAACATCGTAGGAAACCGTCACATTCACGGACGAAAAAGAAAACCGCCTATAATTATTCGGATCCGGGATTTTAGCGTGAGGTAAAAGTCCTCTTTTGCCTACCGACTTCGTTTTTACACTTGAATGATTTTTTTTTCATTTAGTTTTTATTCATAGATTTATTTGAAAAGTAAAATTTAGCTTTTAATCTGTCGTTTTGTAATAACAATAAAATCGACACGATGATCCGCCAACTCTTGAGTCCAAGTCATTCCTATTTTTCTTTCGGGATCATTTGCGGTCGACTTTGGGGATCACTTGCGGTCGAGGATCATTTGCGGTCCACTTTGGGGATCATTTGCGGTCTCGGGATCAGTTGCGGTTGGGGATCATTTGCGGTACTGTACAATACTGACCACAGTGAGTACTGACTACAGTGATTAGGGTTAGCACTAAAAATAGTGATTTGGGTTAAACAATTACCATACTGATTAGGGGTAACCACTGGCTCGAAACGGTTAACTTTGCTAATTGCGTGCGGGGGAAATAATTGTGTAAGTGAATGAGAAATCATAGGAAGGTAGAAAAGGGAAAGTTACAAGCATTGTTTTTTTTTTCTCTTTCAGCATGGGTTGGCTCATTCGCAATGTCAGCTAGCGGTCTTTTCGGTCCTTTAGCCGGGAGATTGACAAATCACTTTGGTGCCCGTATTGTTGTGGCCTGTGGATCATTAATATGTGCGGGTGGTCTTCTTTTTACATCTGTAGTTCCTGGTTTACATCTAATGTTCTTGACATATGGTGGTATTTTTGGGTTTGGTTCAAGCTTAGTTTATATGGCTATTTACGAGATAGTTCCCCGTTATTTTGTCAAAAATCGTTCCGTAGCAACAGGAATAATTACAATGAGCGTAGGAGGTGCTTTGGTGGTGATGACCCCGGTGTGTGAGGCTTTGTTAACAGCATTTGGTTGGAGGAGGACGTTTGCCGGACTGGGCTGCTTAGCATTCCTTGTTTTCTTAACCAGTTGGGTATTTGATCCCAACGTGGCAGACGATGAGACTCATGCGGCAGTTAAAGATTTTAAGGAACCCATCGACAAGCACAGGGAAAAAGTACTGGATTTGTCGATGTGGAAAAACAGAAGTTTTGTAGTCCTCAACCTTTCGCAGCTTGTCATCTATACTGGGCATCACTTGGTACCACTTCATCTGGTAAGCCAGCCATCCTTTAAACTTGAAACGTTTTTGTGTTTTACTCTATCGTGTTTTCCACCAAAACAGCCTAGCATTTTCCATGTTCAGGCAAACACTTGAAAATCCCAGTTTCAGAGTTTTGTACTATTCTTTCTTTCTTACGATGCAGATATTTAAAAAAAGTTACTTTGTATTCATTGTTTTGAAAATCTGAGATCAATTTAGGTTTCTGGCAAACTGCCCACCTACTCCTCCCCTAACCCAACATTTTGCCCTAAGGGAGAAGCAAGTGTTAATGTTCACTTAGGAGAGGGGTAGGTGGGTAGTTTTCCGGAAACCTGAATTGATCCCAAATCTGTCCATTCAAAGCTTTGAAGTATGAATTCTTTTAAGTAATTTACACTAGTTACCATTCACTACTTATGCTTAATAATTTCTCAGGTTTGGAGGTGTCATGTCCTTCGCTATATGAATGGCTCTAGGCACCCTTTTTCCTTTTTTTATGATCATTCAATACTGTCAGAGTGTCAGAGCGCTTATGATTTTGTTAACTACTACTTTTGCTCCTTGAAATATCGGACTAACTAAAAAAGAGTTCCTTTTGTGGTGGTGCCAGCCTTGCTATTACTTAAGCAATAAACCACACTTTCTATCGGTTTACCGGCGTGACAACCCACGCGGAATGTTGGGAGAACATTCGGCTCGTAATTTATAGGCTTTTTTTCTTTTCGAGTGTTCTCCCAACGTCCCAAGTGGGTTATCACGCCGGTAAACCCATAGAAAGTGTGGTCTATTGCTTTTATAAAATAACTTCAGATAAAATGGAAAATGTTTCAGTTTTCTATGAGTTTACCGGCTCAATAAACAATAGGTTTTTAACCAACCAGAACGAGCGTACTATCTTAGTTATCTTATAAAAATGTTTATCTAAACTGTTTAGGTAATATTCTCATGGATGAAGGAATTCTCAGCAAGATTATTAACGTTGCTTTTTCATCCTTTCAAAGGCGAAATATTGTGAAGATCTTGGTATTGAAGAGGACCAGGTAATTTGGCTTTACATGTGTATTGGACTAGTATCTCTTCTAGCCAGATTACCAGGCTCCAAGCTTTGTGACGTCATCAGTCCACTAAAAGTGTTGTTCGTGTTTGCGATCGTCAGTGCACTATCTGCGCTACTATTACCTTTGGCAACTACTTTGATTCGACTTCTCTGTTACGCATCTGTTTATGGCCTTGCCGATGGAATGATGGCAATTGGGGGAATTCTGTGTTGCTTGCAAATGCTGACACCGAAGCAGAAAGCCCAAGGCCTTGGTTTTTATTTACTCTTCAACTGCATCGCTTTTCTATGCGGACCACCAATTGGAGGTAAGTTTATTGAAAGATGATTCAAGTTATCTCAATAGTTGTTTTCCTTATTATCATAGTATTCTCTTTAGAGTGCAGATTTACCCTCGTAAAGCCCCTTTCAAATTAAACAGCCACAATATTGTCACAGTATCGTTCACCACAATATTGACACAGCATTTTTCACCACAATATTGTCACAACTGACAGCGTAATAACATTGTAACAAAATCGTTACAACATTATCGCAAAATCGGCTCAACATTATCACATCTTCACAACATGTCAGAGCATTGGCTAAATAGTTTGAACATCGTCACAACATCATGTCAACATTGTTACGACATTGTCACCGCACTTGCGATGAAATGTTAGTACTTGTTATGAAGATATTGTGAGCAGGTGCCTCACGGCTTTTCAACTGGGCTTAGGCCCCGTCCTCGGCCACGCGTATCTGTTTTTATTCATTTTCCCATGTACATGTAGCTAACGATTAGGAGCTATATGGCCGTTCGATTAAGTAATCAGCGCATGCTCCGCACATGTCCAATACACTCGACTTGAGTCGGTTGCCCTCACCCGCAGGCGGATCGAGTCATATCGCGACCGGAACCGGAAATAGGCGCAAGGCGCTTTGATCAGTGCTACCAGAGGTAAGAGGTTAACAGGAGGAGGCGGGTAGAAGATGCTGGCAAACAGACTCGATCGGATCCGATGGAGACTGTTCGTTCGGGCAAGAGTCGATCGGACTCACCGGAAATCAGTTCACGAGAGACTTGGAAAATATACAGCAAAGTAGCATCAGAGAAGGTAGAAAATGCACTGTTCTGTAAGCCATTGATGAGGCCAAACAAGCGCGCAGCACATGTAATATACGCCGTTCTTGAACCATCGCCCCCTCCTCAAGTCCTCTCCTCAAGTCTCTCGCGAACTGACTTCCGGTGTGTCTGGTTGTTCATGGCTTTCGTCCATCGGATTCAGTTTGGGTGTATTGGGCAACCCTCGTGATTTGAAAATGAACGCAAATAGCCCACGTCCGATATATTAACCATGACTCCGAGGCTTTCTGGTCATTTTTCTATATTTGGTTTGGTTTTCTTTGTGCTCAAGTGAAAAATTTGCAAATTTGTCCCTTAAGCCTCGGAGTCATGTTCGAATTTTAATATATCGAACGTAGGCTATTGTTCGGTTTTTATTGTCGCTGTGTGTGTCAGCTTGTTTTGCCATAAAGAAAACCCTATTATATAGCATAACTTTAATTTTGGGAGGGGGACCAGACGACTCGTATATCATACACAGCGCAGTCAATCTATTCTTTTTCTCTCATTAATTCCTGTCATATTGTTGGACTTCCAGGTTTGATAGCAGAAAAGACCAATTCGTATCATGCAGCTTTTAGGTTTGCTAGTGGACTTGAGTTTCTAGGGCTTTTTAATTTTGGATTATATTTATGCCTTAATGAGAAGTTGTCACGGAAGAGGATCGAAATCGAACCTGAGACAACCCCTTTAGCCACCTTGTGTGTGATAGAAAAGGAAACTGTTTTGTAAAGATCTTATCAGTGTAGAAAATATGGGAAGAGCCCTGCTACCCGCTTAATTTTAGACGAAACCGGGACCAACAGGTCTCCATCTCGATCTCGTACCAGATCTCCCACGTTCACTTTTCACCTAAAGACAGAGTGAGATCTGGTTATGAGATGACGCAGGTTTCCAGAGCGTGTCGGGCAGCACGCCCCCAAACAACAAGAGAGACTTTAAGCAAATCTTTTACAGTGACCTCCACTACGGCGGCCGGAATTTAAAAAAGCCAAAAATGACGTAAAGCGCATGCTTGGAAATGACCTTTCGCCGTTGCGCCAAATCTTACAACGTGAAGATTTATCGAGTGGCGTAGTCGCTACTACGTGAATATAAAATTCGACTTTTCTCATTTTTTTTTACAATTACTGGTTTTGAACCTATCATAGATTGTTTTTCACTTTATCAAGAAAGTATTTCACGCTTCTGGTTTTCCAGTAAAAACGTCCTCTCTGTGTTTTATTAACAAGCGAGAACTCCCGTAGTCTCTGTTTTGGTGCCGCTTGCGTAATGTCGAAATTTGGCGGGTTGCAGTGACGTACTCTCCCCAAACCTCCGCATCCACGACCGCCGTGGTAGGGGTCGCCGCAGCGATTTGCTTTAAGAACTTTTAACGTCCCTAAGGTCTGAATAAATCCCTCCGCCGATCCCGCCCCCCGCTCTGTGCGCGTTGTCTCAAGTTCATCATCGCCACTGGTTGGACTACATCTTATTTTTTGTTTTAACTATACGAAGTTGAGTTACAACTACTGGTTACAAAGTAACTTAGTTCTCGCATTATGCAGTGTCTTTATTTAGGAATGTTATGTTCACACCAATTCACACATCAGGTCATTCTTAAATGACTCTCTTTATAAGAGCAGTCAACTCACGACCTTAAAGAGATCTCTTAATTAAATTTTTCGATGTCTAAGGAAGGAGTCGGGCAGACAATGAAAATAGCTGAAATATTCCTTTTGCATAAGGGTGATAATTCTAGGTTAAAAAACAACTCACTCCTGCTTATTAACTCGTTTTCGATCAACAAACCATTAAAGCCATACTGTTTACATATTATTGTTTCTATTGTCATAAAAGGTGTGTCTAAAATTGTTGTCAATACGTTATTCCATGATGATATATCTTTAAATAATTATCGTCATGAAACGTCTCGTACAAGTAGCTTGAGTACATCGGAATCAGAGTTAGAATACGCATGTCTTAAAGTGAGTACTGCAATGCCGCTGGTCATTCCTCTTAGTGGTGTGTCGTCCACTTGAAGGAGAACTTGCCCCGCTTTTAACCTTCCACACTTCCAAGCTGCGAAGTTACCCTCCTATAACACCAAAAAAGCCATTTTAGAAACAATTGCAATCAACGATAATCGAATCTAACAGGTGCAGTGAACGGTGAAAGTCAAGATTATTAATTCAGGGTTCGTATAAAGTATTGAATTCTTGAAAAAGTCTTAAAAATGGAGATAAAGTCTAGAAAAAAAGGTAAAAAGTCTTGAGTTCTTTTCAAACCTCCAACAAGTGTTTTAGAAGTGTGCTTTGGTCAAATTTTATTCAATCTCGTCCGTACGTTTGCAGCACACCAAGTAAAAAATAGCCTGTGTTTTCAGGTCTGTATTGATCGCCTATTTGATAACCTTGAGTCTAGAACACGAAATTATTGTTTTTTGGAAAAAATTCTGAAATTTTTATCCAAATATCTGTGCGAACTCTGATTATGAAAATTCAACTAAGGGTACTAACAACTATCCATTCACGGCAGACCATTATTATGGTAAAGTTCTTGATGCTCTTCTTCCGGCGAAGAGAGGTTTCCACATTTCTTTGATAGGCTGAAAACAAGCACGGTGTTCATCAACTCCATTACTAAGAATGGGTTTACATGTACGCAAGACCTTAGCAACAACTCACCGCCACGTCTTAATCATCCTAGGCAGGGCTACAGCACGGTTTATGTAATAGGCCCAAATCTTAAATGAGCAACAGATCGTCACCGAAAATTCCCGTTGGAAAGTAAATGTTTCACGACTTTTTGGGTGGTACCAGCCGAATATTTCGGGAACAATGGAACGCCTGAAAAGTTATTACTG